TAGATCCTCACATTTCCTTCTCATTTTCTCGGCCCGGTCCGGGTCGGGCCGACCCATGAGGCTCAGCACGGCTCTCCTAACCTAAAATGATTTTTATCTCAAATTAGGAATAAAAATATGTAAATTATAAGATAGAAATGGGATTATAATAGAAATAAATTTATTTGAATTGTATTATTGATTAATTTTAAGATAATTATATTTAAAATAATTAAAATAATTAAAAAAATTTAAAAAAATTTTATTTTTTAAATGAATTCATCAAAATTATGTGCATTATTTTTTTTTATAATTCATGCAGCTACCAAACTTCTGCTCTGAATCGGTCCACATTTAATACGTATATGATCATTCTTACCATTTTTATTAGAAATTTCTTACATAAATTTTCTTAATTAATTATTTTAATTTAGATTTTTTATTTTTTTAATTAGATATTTAACAAAAATACTTTTCTTGTACTTAGGTGAATGGTTTATAATTATATAATTTAATTAAAATAATATAGTAGATTTATTTAATTAATAATTTATATGAATTAATAAAAATTTCTATTATATCTTATTTAAAAATTAAATTAACACCTTCAAAGTTTATTAATTATACTTAAGAGAAATTATTTAAGATAATCATTGAGCAAAATTTTTTTAAATTACTATGTAATCATTAAACTAAATTTAGTTGAGGGGTGGTTATGCTAAAAGAATTAAAGTAATTAACAATGAATAAAAAGATAATTATTTAAATTTATTAAAATTCTGCAATATATAAAATTTATATTGAAATTTTTTACATAATTAAATATTTGACATCCCATAAAAAATATTATTAAATTAAAAATATTTTATATTACACTGCATATTAAAATAAAATTAAATTAAATTTTAAAATTCAATCTTAATATAAATTATATGAAAATATTTTTTCATAAATTTTAAAAAAAATATATAAATTATATTAAATTGTAAAACTATATAAATTAAAAACTGTAAAGACAAAAATATACATTAAAAAAAACATTGTAAAAAAGAAAAAAACGCCTACTAACCTTACAGAGCTTCACTGCTGCCGGCGTCAAAGCGATATCCAGTTATCTAATATCATGCAGAATCAGGCCAGACCAGCCTCAGAGCAGGCTTGAACGAGACTATAGGCGAAAGTAGAGGCGATGAAATCTACATCGTCGGAGAAGACGAAGCCGAGCAAAAGGTGACAGTAAGTAGACTGCCGGTGATCGCCGGCGGCGACGACTTCCAGCGGGCTGCAGGAGAAGGATTGAGTTGCTAATTGCCTCAATCTGAATTCCTCGCTGGCGAACCAATGGGTGGTCGCCGTTCCAATGGTGACCCGACCACCGTTTGTTTCTAACCGCTTGCTGCTGTATATAAATTCCAAAATCTTGCTTTTGGGTCTTATGGGGAAAATCCTGCGAAATAGTAGATGGCAGATTTGTTTGATATGCTTTGTTTTATTTTAAATTTTTTTAATAAAAAGTGTAATTATAGTTTCAAAGTACAGAAAAATTTAAAAAAAAACCAAATCATTATAAAAATTTAAGGCTGATACAATTCAGAAAATTGACAAAATTTTGATTAGAATATTCCGATCGAGTTTTTCTCTTATTTATATAAGAAATTTACTAATATTAAAAGTTTAAGGTGAAATACATATTTTATTAAGATAATTTGTAAATCTACAGAAAAATGGCTTGTCTGTAGCAAAAGAAAATGATTAAATGTTTTTAAAAAATCTAAAATCAAAGACCGGAAATAAAAAACCAACCCTTAATAATTTAAATTTAATTCCAAAATCCAAAGCGACCACCCCTTCAATGCAAACAAAACCCTAGCAGAAAAGGCTCAAAAACCAAATCAATCAACGAACCCAACCTCGATCGATACGCAGCAGCGAGGCGAAATATCCTAAGAGTCATCTGAGAACTGAATCTGGTAAACGGAACAAGCTTTTGCCGGCCATCCGTAGTCCCCGAACTAAGCGAAAGCATGCTGATATTTTCTCCGGTGACCAAACCGGCCGACGGCTCTCCATCGGCGATGCGGCGAATCAACGGTTCGATGTCGCCGTGAGACGAGAGGGGCACTCGTGAGGAGAAGAGAGATTGCAGGTTGTTTAAATCGAGATAATCACCGATCTCGAAATCGGCCCCGAGAAATCGCCGGAGGTATTCGGTGTGGCTATTGAGCTCCAGGATTCGGCGAAGTGTTTTGGCTTGGGAGATTCCGGCGTTGGCCGCCGTGGTTTCGAACCATTTGATGACGTCTTCGGGCTCCTGCGGCATTTCCTCCGGCAAGTCTCCGGCGGCCGGAGATTCTTCGACGGTCATTAGGCTTTTCTCTGTCTCGCGCGCAGTTTCAGTGGGCAAGGCTTTGTGTGTTACAGTGATATAGTGATATACAGATATTTATAGCTCAGAGGAGCTTAGGGAGAGCAAAATAGAGGCTTATGGAATAATCGAGTGGGTTTAATTAATTAAAAAATTTATAATTATAATTTATGTATTTATATAAATGTT